CTCGTCCGTCTCTCACACCTCCTGCGCTTCCTCCTCCTCATCATCATAATCATCATGATCATCAGCAACAGCAGCATCATCATATTCAGCATCATCATAGACATCATCGTCATCATCACCATCACCATCATCATCACCATCATGATAATCATCATCGTCAGCATCAGCATCATCAACATCACTCACCAGCATCATCATTGTCATCATCAGCAGCATCATCGTCGTCGTTGTCATCACCATCATCATTGTCATCAGCATTATCATCATCAAAACATCATCAACATCATGTTCAGCATAATCATCGTCATAACAACCAACACCATCATCAACAGCATCAGTATCATCATCAACAACAGCATAATCATCATCCACATCATCATCACCATCATCCCCATCATTATCATCTGCATCATCACTGTTGCAATCATTACCAGCATCATATGCATCATCATCAACAGCATCATCATCAGTTTCATCATCACCAGCAGCAGCAACATCAGCATCAGCATCAGCAGTAGCATCAGCATCAGCATCAGCATCAGCATCAGCATCAGCATCAGCATCAGCATCATCATCGTCGTCATCAACATCATCATCATCAGCATCAACCTCGTAAGTAACAGCATCAGCAGCAGCAGCATCAGCATCATCATCATCCTCAGCAGCATCATCATCAACAACAGCAGCATCATCAGCATCGTTGGTTGAATCAGCATCATCATCAGCATCGTCATCACTATCAGCATCATCATCAACATCATTATCGTCATCAGTTTCGTTGTCGCCGTCGTCGTCACAATCTTCATCAGTAGCAGCATCATCATCTTCATCAGCATCGTCGTTCTCCGTCCCCTCTCTTTCCTCCTGATGTTTCTCTACCACCTCTTCGAATCCCCGACAGAAAGACCCTGCCCGAACTCCTGCAGTCGCCTCCTCCCCCGCCTCATCGGTTGCGTCGTCATTATCAGCATCGTCAATAGCATCACCATCATCAACATCATCATCATCACCATCAGTATCATCACCATCATCATCATCAGCAGCAGCAGCTCCATCATCATCAGCATCATCAACAATGTCAGCACAATCTGGACCATCATCATCAGCAGCACTACCATCAGCATCAGCATCATCATCATCAGCGTCATCACCACTAGCAATGTGAGCATCGTCAGCATCATCGTCACCCGCGTCAACATTATCATCATCATCATCATTATCAGCACCAGCGTCAGCAGCAGCATCGCCGTCGTCGTCATCAGCACCAGTAGCATTTTCATCATCATCAGCAGCTACATAACCATCGTCATCATGCTCATCCAGCGTCCTCACCACTACCACCATCGTCGTCATCATCGTCGTTACAATCATCTTTATCAGCGACGTCGTCACCATCGTCACCATCGTCATCATCCTCATCATATCATCAGCATCATCACCACCATCATCATCCTCGTCATCCTCCTCATCCTCACTCTCAGCAGCATCAACAGCATGAGCAGCATAATCATCATCATCATCATCATCATCATCGTCGTCATCAGCTCCATAATCATCGGCATCATCATCGTCACCAGCTTGATATTTAACTTCAACTGAATATTCATCTTCACCAGCAGCATCATCACCCTCATCCTCCACCTCACCATCATCATTATCACGAGCATCATCAGCATCAGCAGCACCATCAGAAGCACAGTCATTTCCTGTCAGTATCATCACCAGCAGCATGATCATCGCCGGCGTCGACATCATCGCCATTACCATCATCCTTAGCAGCAGCAGCAACATCATCAGCATCATCATCACCATCACCATCAGAAACAGCAGAATTACCAGGATCATCGTCATCACCATCATCAGCATCTTCATCAGCATTATCATCTGTATCATCGTCGTCGTCATCATCGTCATCGGCATCATATTCATGAGTGTGGGCGGAGGGGGACATTCTTTGCAGCAGACGCAGCACGGCTTGCTCTGACGATTTAAAAAGGGCTTTAAAACACACGATTGCGCAATCTGCGGGCCTTGGCCGTTTCAAGACACACCCTTACCCATACCATGTTCTGGGCGGGTGGGTGGGGCACCAACGACTCAGGAGTTGGCCTATGTGGAGACAAAGCTGGGGAGGGTAGGCGGACGCGACCTTGGACCACAGCTGTTTGTTGTCCGGGGTGCGTCCCGCGATCTCATTGCGAGACTGGCCAGAAAACGAACAGTGCCCATCCCTCCCCGCGTAACGGGCCCCAGCGAGCTCCTCCAGAGGCAGGTGGGAGAACAACAGGGTCGTGCACTTCCTGTACGGTGTCCCGAAAGCACAGTAGTCTATCTGGACAGAGTTATATACTTATCTAGCAAACGTTGAAATCCCGGGAGCTCCCACAACATGCTTGAGGCGGGGTTCTCGATAATGCAAGGCACGCCTAGACGCGAGAGGGCATCGAACAGTTCGGCGGCCCACTTAGCTTGTTTGTTGCCTTCCTGGACCTTCCGAAAATCATTGGGGGGAAGGTCGGGGAGGCCGAGTAGGTGCTCACGGTCCCGAATCGGTGCTGGCCAGCCTTTTTTGCCCGACCTGTTCCGCCTAGCGCGGGGCCAGGACGCGCACACAAGGCCGATCCAACACATAGCAATAACATTATGGGAGGCAGCTTCGAGCAGGCGCCTCGAGACATCTCTATACAAGCAATCCTCCAGCGGGGAGTCGGCCAGCCCCCAGCTGCGCGTGAAGAAACCGACGCTCTTGCAGGCAGCGCTTATGCCGCGACTGCCTGCCATCAGCTCTGCCACGACCCAGCCTGGCCGAGGGGCAGACGGGGCGATGACGAGGCCGCCGCGCGGGCCCCAGTCACCCCAGGCCGAAAAAGAGCGGGCACGATTCACTTGGGGATGGTCTCCGCGGCGACGGTCCGCTCGAACAGCGACCCCATCACCTCGAACATCTGGCGGCCGAACTCCCTCGAGGCGGGAGTCGTGGCATTGAGGAGCTGGTGCACGGCGCCGGCCTTCCCGCACCTGTTCAGGGACGAGTCCGTCCTCCAGTGGCCCCGAGCCTTCACGGTCTTCCGGCCCCGCCGTCCTCAGAAGATGTCGTCCGACGCCCCGCCGTGCCGCAGCTGGTAGAGGCAGACCCGGGGGGGGCCGCACTTCCTCGCTGCGACGCCGAACTGGGCCGCCACGGACGCGCCGGGGGTGGGGAAGATCAGGTCGGTCGACGCCCTCCCCCGGACATGGGCCGCCAGGCACTCGCCGAGCCAGACTGGGTGGTCTATGATCACGGTCTCGTCCGAGGTGCCCGTCTTGGTGAGCTCTCGATGGGAGCCCCTCGGATCGCCTGGCATGCTCGCATCCATCTGGGTCGGGGCGAGGCTCAGGCTCCAGCACTGCAACTGTCCCGAGGCCCTCGAGGGGGCCAGCAGCTGCTGTACTTGTAGCTTCCGAAGGGCTCCTGGGCGGATGTAGGCGAAGAACGTCGATGCCACCTGGAGCGCACAGCCCCTCTGCCCCCGCGCCAGCATCTCGGACACGACAGCGCCGAGGAGTTCCCGAGGCACGGGAGCGCGAGAAGCAGGGGGTCGGCGCTTGGCGTAGCCTCGAAGCCCACGGTTCACGCGCGGCATCGTCTGAGAGCCCGTGCACCACGGGTAGGCGTCCTTGACCGCTGCGACCGGGATGGACGCGTCGGCCCGGGTGCACTCCGCCTCCAGCATGAGGTCGAGGAACTGCAGCACCCGAACCCCCATGTCCTCGATGGTCGACGGCACCCCCCCTCCTCGGCGAGGAACACCTGAAACGCATCGGAGTACGCCTTGTAGCCGACGCGCGTCGCGTCGGCCGCCGCGGCCAGCTCGCACCTGGAGAGCGCCAGGGCCGAGGCGGAGCTGCTCCGGTTGGGCTCCAGGGCCTTGGCCAGCCGAGCGTGCAGCTGGGGCGGCGGCACCGGCGTGCGCGCCGCTGGCCGCGCCCGCGCCGCGCGGGGGGCGGCGCTGGCGGCGGGCTTGCGGCGGGCCGCGGGCCTCTTGGCTGGGGCCGCCCTGGCCTCCAGGCCGCTCGGCCTGCGCGCCAGCCCCTCGGCCACAGCGGCGGTCGCCAGGCGGCGCCTCTTGGGCCGCGGCCCCGCGGTCGGCGCGGGCAGGCGGCCCGAGCTGCCCAGCGGCTCTTCCACGAAGGCGCCGCGCCCAGCCACGCTCAGCGGGCCCAGCATGCACCAGAGAGAGGCCTTCGAACGTCCTGGAGGCATCGTCGGCCGGCTGCCACTCCGACGGTATCCACCGAAAGTGGGGCCCAATGTTGGTGGCGAGGGTTAGAGCCGCAAGGCGACGGTTGAGATGTAACATACAATATGACGGCGACGGGCCCCTATCGAAGCAGCAGCAGACGCCGAAATTGTCGAGCAGGAATAAGTGACGATGATGATGGTGCGAAGGGTCCTTGGCGAGACGACGTAGAGCCCATAGCATAGCCCTCCCCTCCTTCAGCCCGATGTGTTCGATGTAGCGATACGGGCCCTTGTAGACCACCCTCCACCCCTCTTTATGTAGCACATGACGAGGGACCTCTGGGAACCCCACGACCTTGGCCCACAGATCGATGACATTGTTGGTGAGGACGGTAGCAGGATCGGTGATCTCAGGGAAATCATCGAGGGCTCTCTTTCGGGGGGCCCATTCTTCGGGTTGGAGACGTTTGAACCTCCACTTCTCATGCCACCTTCCAAGCTCAGAGACTTCCGAAGTATCAAATTTCTTCTCACACACTCCGAACCCCGTCGTGGAGGCGTCGGTGGCCGTCACGGTCGACGACCAAGGCCTGTCGAGCTGGCTTCCCAGCAGCACTGCCACGGCGGAGAAAGTCCATGCCTCGTACCGTCAAGAGCGCCAGAGTCGACAAGGCCGCATGTAACGATCACGGACAAAATCATATAGAGCACGAGGGACGGACATCCCTGCTCGATTGAAAAGCGCTGCGGCGACACAATGTCCGACCACCACTTCAACCTGGCGGCCAGTCACGATGGGGCCGCTCGCTAGCCACTGCAGCGCACCTCTGAGCAACCACAGCTTCTGCCCGGTGCGCCTGGTGACGGGCGGATGGCCCCCCGCGTCGGCCCCCAGGATGGTCGAGTGTGCGCTGGTCTCTGAGATCACGTGCATGCTGAAGCCCTCCTCGGAGAAACGGGCCACGACACGATCCCTCAGCTCGGTGACCTCCTCAGCCCGTACCCCCAGCACGTTGATGTTGTCTGAGTAGGGCAGCTCCACGGGGCCTGAGGTCAGGGGCGGCAGCGGCCAGGCTCCCAGGGCGATCCTGTCGTCGGGGACCGCGGCGCGGCGCAGCATCTCCAGGTGGATACGCTGCACCAACCAGAAGCTCCAACTCCAGCCCATGGGGAGCACCACCAGGCACGGGTGGACCCTCTCACGCCCGGTGAACTCCTGGCCGCACACGTCCACGGTCAGGCCGAGCTCGAGGGCCACCTCGACGGGCACCGAGGGCAAGCAGAAATAGTTACTCGGCCTCCCGATGCCGCCGCACTGGTAGAAACAGGCCTCGATGTCCACCGAGGCAGCGTACAGCTCCTGGCCGGGCTCCAGCTCGATCGCGCTCATCGCCTCGGAGCTCCCGATCTCGACGGTGGGAGCGTGGGCGAAGAGGATATTGGTGAGCCGGCAGTCGAGCGCGAGCCTCTGCCCCCCATTCTTCTTGGCCACGGAGAAGGGGGTCACAAGGCTCAGCGACTCCGACGCCACTCCGAGTAGTCGTCGATCCATCAGGCGCTGGACAAAATTCACATAGGCCTTCTTGTCAGCCCGCAGCGCGACGTCAAAGTAGGGGCGCGAGGGAGTGCGCCCCCTACGCTCGGAGACGACGTCGGGGCTCGCGAGGATGAGGTCTTCGAAATTAGTCAGCACCTGCCGAGCCCCCACGTCCAGCGCCCTCGCGGCGTCCACTGGGTCCCGCCCGGGGGGGGGAGAGATAGCCGTTCAGCGTCATGCGGTTGCACTGCGCTACCATCACCTCCATAATCGATACGAGGTCCCAGAAGCTGAGCCGCAGCTTCGTGGGGTAGAAGTTGATCAAAATTATGCCGGGCCCCCCTGGCGGTGTGCAGTAGGCGTCGGTGCACCGAGGACTGCGCTGGGCTCGCCGGCCCCACCGCGTCGCGCTCGCAGCCGTAGAGGGCGTTGAGAACGGCCACCATGTCGTCTGCATCGTCTAGGGCCAGCCGGCGATACGTGCTGCGGCGGCGGGCCGTCCTGGACGCCCTGACGCCCTCCCATGTCAACCCCTCTGGGCCGACCGGAGGTAGAAGAAAAAGTTCACGCGGTCCACCGAGAGGTCGCGGGCCAACGTGTTCTGGCGGCGGAGCGGCACGGCGTTGCGCGTCTCCCCGACGCCAGCGGTCTCTGCGTGTCTGGCTGGTATGAGTGACGGGAGGGGGGTCGCCAGAGAGGAACATATCCTTCCCCCCTCCCACGGCCGAGACGGTCATGATGCCGGCGGCGGGCCCTTCTTCCGGGCCGCCGCCGACTTTGCCTCCGCTTTGGCCTCTCGAGCCTTCCTCTTCTCCTTCTCGATCGCATACTCCTTCGACATCTCGGCCGCCACATGCGCCCGAAGGGCGGGCGTCACTGTGACACCCGTGCCCTCCTCGTCCTCGCCCATGTAGATGTGCGAGCCCTCGAACGCTGGCTTCTCAGGATCATCCCGGTGGGCCGTCTCGAGCAACATTCGCCGTCGATTCAGAAACTCGCAGCACGACAAGTTCGCGATGTTGAGCCCGTCCGACTCCATCGCGAAGGCGAGGGCACGGCATAGGACTCGGTGTTCGTGACCTGACCGCGATCCTGCTGGCACTCTCGACTCCATCAGCCACCGATCGTGGGCGGCACTGAATCCCCCGAGCGAACGCAGGTACATCTCATTCACCGAGTCCTGCAGTGTCCCAGGGCCCTTGGTCCGCAGCGGCGCACTGGGATCCCGCGCGACCAGGGCAGCGTCTGCGGCAAAGGCGACGGGGGTCGGGGAGCACGGCCGTGGCAGCAGGCGCGGGTCGCCCTTCAGCAAGACCTGCTGGCGACTCAAGCCCCAGGCCGCGAGGTCCGTGCCCGGCGCGACCCTGGTGAGCGACACGATCTCCCCGTTCATGGTCACGAAGGCACGGCCCCCCACGTCCAGCGCCGTCGGCGGCAGCGGCACCTCCTGCCCGAGCACGAAGGTGTCCACGGGCTCGTCCAGCACCCACGCCCCAGCGGGCCCGGCCAGGCGGGGTGGCGGCGGCGCCGCGGCCACGCCAGGGGCGGGCGGCACCGCCACGGGCAGCGGCGTCGGGACAGCCACCGGGGCCACCCCGCCCGGGCCAGCGCGGGCCGCGGCACCAGGCGGCGCGGCCAGCCCACGCGACGCCCGCTCGACCTGCGCATGGCGCTCGCCCTCGGCGAGGAGCTGCGTCAGGTCGGCGCCGGCAGGGCGCACCTGGAAGCGGTAGACCTGCATGCCGCCCATCCCGAAGGGCAGGCGACCGTCCGTACTGCCCAGCCGTAAGCCTTGCAAGTCGGCATTGGCTGCATCGATCTGTTCGGTAAAGATGTCCAGGTCAGGCGACCCTACTACATACTCGCTCGCTGCCACCCAGCTCAGGATGATCCGCTCGTGATACAAGTCGTCCCCGACGTAGCACAGGTAGGCCGACGAGCCAGAATCCAGAAAGGCCATCTCAGGCCTGTACCACGACGCCGAGCTTGCCCTTGCCCTTCACAGGCCCAGACGGAGTCCCGTCGGCGATCGGGGTGACGATGGGGCCCGGCGTCTCGACGATACCCCCAGTACGTGGAGTCCAGGGCTCGGCAGACACACGCCGCCTCGGCAGGCCCGCGCCCGCCCAGCAAGTGGTGAACGCCGCGCCCACGATCAGCCCCACCAACCCCGCGAGCAGCACGTCGCCTGTCCCCCAGCCTGGCGCCGGGCAGACGGGGCAGACCGCACACACAGGGGCAAGGTCCGATGGCCCGCACCTGTTGAGCTGCGACTGCAGCAGCTCGATCAGCCCAGGCTCCACCGCTGAGCCCGAGCAATGGCAGTGCAAGGGCTGCGGCGCCACCCAATGGCCGAGCCAGGTGCCGATCAGGTTGGTGACTACACCGTGGATATAAGCCGTGAGGAGACTCATCCACACAAGAGAGACCTGGAGCCCCAACGGTTGCGGAAGGCACGCTTCACAGCCCCCCTCCTGGCACTCACTACCCTGTACACAGATCCATCATCATCATCACCACCACCACTATCACAATTATCAACATCAGCATCGTCATTATCGTCGGCGGTGGCGCCCTCATCATAAGCAACATCATCATCAGCAGCATCAGCATCATCGTCATAATCAGCATCATGATCAGCAGCATCATCATCATCAGCATCATCAGTATCATCGTCGTCTCCATCATCGTCATCATCGGCATCATATTCATCACCACCACCACCACCACCATCATTACCATCGTCAGCATCATCGTCGTCAGTGGCGGCGTCCTCATCATAAGCAGCTTCAGCAGCAGCAGCTTCAGCATCGTCGTCATAATCAACATCATGATCAGCATCATCATCACGCTCTGTCGTCGGCGGCATCTTAATCGACATGGTCATCACCACCACCACCATGACCACCACCACCGATCACCACTAATAATCCCACCAGCTCTCTGGGCGCAGGTGGTCTAGAGCGTTTCCTTTTCCAGCCTCATTCCTTTCCCTGCTCGGGGACGGGCTCCCCCCTCCCTGGGTGGGCGGGCTCCCCCGCGAGGGGTTCGAGCGTCCAAGATGGCCCGAGATAGCTTCAAGAGCGCTTTAGCTAGCCCAAGATTGCATCCAATATCGCCCAAGAAACCTCGAGGCGGTTCAAGATAGCCTCCAACACGCATCCGAGAGGCCCCAAGACGGCCCCATGACGGTTTCAAGTGCCCTCCGAACCCTCCAAGGACCCCCGGGTTCAACATGTAAGGAAAATCCTTGCATGTTGCCTTTTCGCTGTTTCACTTCCGATGGGCTCGTGAGGCGTCAAGATGGCCCCAAGATGGCCCAATATAGCCACAAGAGAGGCCCAAGAGGGCCAACGACGGCCCCAAGAGCGCCCAAAAGCGCCCCAAGAGCGGTCCAAGAGGGCCCCAATACGCCCGTGTTGGGCATCCAAAGGGGGGGCGCAAACTTAAGACCCCCCTCTTGTTGAGCGAAGGGGTCCAAGACGGCCCCAAGAGGCCTCCCAGATCCTCCAAAAGAGCCCCAAGAGGGCCCCAAGACTCCCCCAAGAAGCCCTGAGAAAAGTCCCATAAAGGCCCCAGAGGACCCCAAGAGGACCCCAGGATGGGGCCCAAATGGCATTACGAGTCTTCGAAGTACCCCTCACCACGACATATGCCCAAAGCCCGAGTTTTCGTCCTCGTTGTCATCGTCCGGTCCGTCCTTGCTTCTTTCCTGCCGCGTCCCTGCTCCTCTTCATCCTCTTCGCGCCGCGTTCCTCCTGCTGTTCCTCCTCCTCCTTCCCTTCCTCCTTTTTCTGTTTGTCCACCTCCTCCTCCTCCTCCTCCCCCTCCTCCTCCTCCGCCTCCTCCTCCGCCTCCTCCTCCTCCTCCTCCTCCTCCTCGTCCTCCTCCTCCTCCTCCTCCCCCCTCCGTAGCCATTTTGGTTCAAGGTGCTTTGTTCCACAGGGGAACACGTGGATACCGCTAGTCCGCGGCCAGTGCCAGGGCGCCGCTGCCCGACAGGTTTGTCCCAGTTTTGGGCGACGGGTAGGCTGTGCGCTGCCCAAACGCCATGGCCAATGGCGCTTCTCAGGCGAAGGAGCGCCAGGATTGGCGTTGCCGCGCTTGTGTCAATACTCGCCCTGGCTTGCCTTTGGTCACGCGGGGGAGTCAGCTCAAATGTCACGGGTGCAGGCTTCACAAATCCGCCGTCTACGGGGGCCCTGCCGCCGTCGCTGCCCAGCCATCGTCTCGTCCGCCGCGGCCGAATGGGCTCAAAGGGGGGCGGTTCCGATGTCGTCCCGCGCGCCGAGTACACGCATATGGCCAAGGCGCTGCAGGAGGCCACGGCGGAGCTCGCGCAGCTGCGCAAGGCTAAGGCTGCGGCGCAGGGCGCGCGCGCGAGGGCGCCATGCAGGTCGAGCCCGAGGAGGCACCCGACAACGATGCGGGCGCCAAGCTGGCTGCAGAGGTCAAGGCGCTGGAGGCGAACCAGCTGGCTCTCAAGGGCGGCATGGGCAACTGGGCCGAGGAGCAGCGGAGACGCGCAAGAAGCTGCTCGACACCAAGCCGCTCCACGCGCAGGTGCACGCCCTGGCCAATCGCGTCAAGGCGGGTTCGGCGAAGATCGTTCAGGCTATCGTGGCGCAGAAGGTGGCGATCGAGCAGGTCACCAAGGCCAACGCCAAGAAGGTCGCTGCCGATGGGCTGGTCGAGAGCCTGCAGAAGCAGCAGCTGGAGCTGGAGGGCGAGTTGGGCCGTTCGCAGGCCTCGCTGGGACGCGCTCCTGATCCTGCGGATGGTGCTGGGGCCTCTCTCCCTGGCCTGGGGGTCACGACGGAGGAGCTTGAGCAGATTGTCACCAAGCTCACCCAGGGCTCCCAGCTCAACACTGACGCGCAGAAGAGGCTTGCGGAGGGCATCGGGGGCCAAATCAATGAGCTCATCGTCTCCAAAAGGCCTCGTCTCCAAGGGGCTGGAGTGGGTGCTGCACCTGCCGCTGTTCCTGAGGCTGCCGCTCCTGCTGCCCAATGGGATCCCGATGCTGTCGCATTCCCTGTCCTGCAGAAGACCATGGAGTGCCTCGGGGCCTGCGCCACGGAGGCAGAGTTGCGCGAGCGGGCCAGGAGGTTGGCGCAGGGCGGGTACAAGCCGTTCTAACTCCACCTCTTCCTGGACGTTGCTGTTTATCATTGTCTTGTGCACTACCATGGCGAAAGGTAACATTATGACTAGGCGTCCTGGGGCTCGGCGGCTGGTTGTCTGGCGGCCATTCCCCCCCCCCCCCCCCCCCAAGACAACGGTCATTGCCATGCAAGGGCATCGCGTCCAGGACGCCGATAAGTTGGCGAGCTTCCAGGGCGAGGTCGCTGATTTTGGCTTCTCTGGCACATGGGCGCCTGCGGTGCCCAGCGGTACGTCAGAAGCAGGCACGTCGGCGGGAGTGGCGATATTGGCGCGGACGTCGGTCACCATAACCGAGCCGCCGTTCACCAAGGACCCAGTTCTTTATCCTGGACGACTCGTAGCGGCGCGCGTCCACTGGGGTGCGCGAGGAGGCTTGGTCATCCTGTCTCTGTACTTGGTCGACTCCGTGGGGCTCGACGATCAGAACAAGCGCATGTTGTGGACGTTGGCCAGCTATTTGGCGAAGCTGGAGGCGGCGCAGATGGGTTACACCGCGTCTGGCGACTTCAACGTGGGAATGGAGAAGCTGGAGGACTCCAGCCTCGCCGACATCGAGGCTCTCTTTGCGGTGCCTCGAGCTACGACGTGTCGACCTTCGCAGGTCGAGAAGGGGCCCACCATCGACTACTTCATGCTGAGCGCCAACCTGGCGCCTCGCGCGCGGGAACCACGGGTGCAAGAGGATGGGGCCACATCCGGTGCATCGAGAGCTGGCAGCCGACGACCTCGACCTCAAGATTCGGGTGCCTGTCATGCCGTTCGCCATTCCCGCTGCACCTCCTGCTGGATGTGCTCGAGGTGTCGAGGACTGGGGCCCTGCGCTTGCAGCTGTCCGCGCTGCTGCTGACTCCCAGGGCTTGCCTCCTGCTTGGGACAAGGTCCTAACCACGGTGGAGTCGAAGCTGTTGGACAGATATGACATCGTGGGCGCTCGCAGGCGACTTCACACAGGACGTGCTGGCGAGATCGAGACTACGCTCAAGTCGGTCAAGTGCGTTCCACCTGCTCGCAGAGTACGACTTGGAAGAGAAGCGCAGGCGATGAAGGTTGCGGCCTGGGCGCGACATTTCATGGGGGTTCGCGCATATCTTCACAAGGAGTTACTTCTCCTACACAAAGCTGAATTCACATGTGCGTTGGCACCGCGGAGTTTCAGTAAGGTTGCGGCTTTCTTGCTGGCAGCCAAAGGTTATTTGGCCAAGATAGGTTCGCACACTACAGCTCTCTCCCACCTGACCAGCGAAGAGCAGGCCTTTTTCAGAGGTGGCATCTGCGTGCTCAGCAGGGGCGACTTTGAGGATGTGGTCAGCAAAATTGTCGAGCGCTGCAGGAAGCGGTACGACAAGCTGGTAGAGGTCAAGCAGGCCGCGTGGGTCAGCTTCGCGAAGGGCAGTTTCGTGCGGGGGGCTAGCAGGGCGCATCGCATCACCAAGACCAAGGAGCTGCAGTCGGTGCTGGCCAGTTGGGATGATCGCAACAATACCGCGTCCCCTCACCGTGTTTGCGATCGTGAGATGGTTCCATGGGCTAAGATATGGCGCTGTCACGATTTGCAACAGCTGGAGCTTCCAGGAGATGCTGCCCAGTGGCCTGCTCTCCCTGCCATCACCGTCAGCACGATGAAGCGGGCGATGTCTTCTTTTTCGACGTCCACGGCATCAGGTCTTGGCAGGATTGGAGTGCGCGCTTTCCTCATGTTGTCATACGAAGGTCTGTATATTCTTTGCGGCGTTGTTCGAGCGGTGCGAAGGTCTCCTCGCCTGGCCTGATGCGCGAGTTTGGCGCGAGATGGTGAAGGCTTCCGGAGACTAGTGGGGGTCGCAGACTCATCACGCTCATGGACAGCATGATCCGTATTTGGGCTCGAGTAAGGGTCTCTGTCTTTCGCAGCTGGGTGGTTGCGCATCCCAGTGCTGCTATATGGGGGCTGGGCTCGGGGCGCACATCTTCAGACTCTGCCTTCGGGCTTAACTTGGAGGCCGAGATCGCTGAGGCCACCCAGCAGAAGTCCCTCGCTGTCCTAATGGATGCGTTTAAGTTCTTTGGGACGATCAAGCCGTTGGCGTTGCTCAACGAGGCGAGGGCCGTTGATATGGACCTCAGACTGGTGTGGATGCTGCTCGAGTTGTATCGGCAACCGCGTCGGTTGCGAGCGTTTGGGTCAGTACCAGAACAGGCCATCGCGTGGCAGGGCAGATTGGCTGGTTGCTCTCCCGCGTGCTTTTTGGTGTCAGTGCAGCTCTACAGG